ATTGTGCAAAAAATTTTGGTACGGTAGCAGCTTGGTCAACACAGTCCATATTTTAATAGATTATGTCATTAACTCATTGGTGTCAGAAGCATATGTATGTATGGGGGATACATTGGTGTGTGTACATGTGTGTGTCTCTGTGTGGGGGTGGTAGTGGTGGGGGGGTTCTGGGGTCCTCCCCCATAAAATTTTCAATAAAGTAGATACCATTTCCTGCATTCTGGTGTATTTTAATGGTCTGTTAAACATCAATGTTTCCTTACATAAATAAACACTTGATTCAATAACTATTTTAGAGAGTAGCCTGACCAACAGCTGCCCCTGTTGACAACTGACGCACTAGATAAGATGCTACAGACACAGTGCTCTGCTTCTGTCATGCATCTTAACCCCCAACCCTCACCCTGGTCAACAATTGCCGGCACTAACGCAGCTCTAAGTTTTTGGGTTACTGTTACCAGGTCAAAATCCAAGTTGGTTGCCACCATAAATGTATATTTGTAAACCGTGTGAGCTGGGTAACTAAAAAATGTGCAACGTGCTGACTTCTATTTTGTTGTGTGACTACATCTTTGCATAAGAAATGTCACTATGAAAATTTGGTTGCCAAGTCAAAATCCAAGATGGCCACCACCATATTTATATGTAAACCAGTTACCTCAATCATTAGAGGAAGCTATGCTTTCTAGTTCTGGTATTGCTTACAAGTATACTTTCCTCAAATGATTGGGGAGGTTCAACATTAATCTATAGGTCATCCATTGGTCACTCCCTGGCTTCGCCATTGTGCCAGGTCGTAGATAAAATAAAACCGTCTACTTGCAAGATTCCATAGCCCTGCATTGCCTCAAACAGGCACAAAAAAAAAATAAAAAATACATCCCTTTCATCTTTATACACATTGAACCTCGTACCCACTTAAATATCCAGCAACAAAAACATTAAGGTTTACAGTAGGGGTGTAACATCGATTTACATAGATATATCAATTAAATAATTAATTATTCAATTATATTGTGGCAAAACTAAAACATCGATTCACATAGTCATCTTTAAAATACGATTTTATTTTGAAATTCCCAAGGCACGTCTGTGTTACTATTTCCATGCGTGGCTGCGCTCTGGGCTGCCTCAGCGACACGAGGCAGAAAACACAGATAATGACATTCACTCTTAAATCAACTGTGTGGAAATATTTGTGATTCCAACAGAAGAATGGCTCAACAGTCAAAACTCATGTCGCATGCAACAGGTGCCAGCGTGAGTTCAAATACTCGGAAACACAACAAATTTGTCCGTTCACATGAAGAAGAAACATGTCATTGATAGCCATGCTATGTAAGCTCAATATATATTTTGTTTATTTATAACTGAAAGGTAATCTGGGCAGTTTTAAGTTAATTGGTTTAAAAAAATGCACTTCAACATGAGAAATGTGAGACTAAACTGAACAGGACATTTATTTTAATTTTTTCATTAATTAAGTTTTTTTTTTTTTTTTTTTTTTTATTGAAATGCCTGGCGCCTGTAATAACAGAAATAAAATGGTTAAATCATATTTTAACTGTTTTTTGTCAATTTATTTATACGTAAATGAGATTGGCATTTAATATCACAATATCTTGATCACAGACTTGTGAATTGAATAGAATCGAAATCGTATCGTGACCGACTTTGTGATATCGAGAAAAATCGTATCGTCATTCAAATCAATATAATATCGTATTGTGGTGTAAGAATATGTTCTGTTCTGGAGCAGGAAAAGGAGGAGCAGTTGTCTTCCATTTCAGAAGGTTTATTTTACATGTAAAGTACAAGATCACCAGCCCTGGGCCATTGTAACTCCACCATGCGGTCACGAACAATGGCCCCGAACGTAAACAGACAACCCATCTTCTTCAGAGCTCGGCCACACCTCCTGGAGTCATCATCACCATCAGCGAATGGGAGGTCCTACTCTTACCGTGTGACCCAGCTCTCAACCAATAATATCTCACCATCTTGTGTTCTATAATGGGTGGGTGCGTGAATGTTGGGAGTTGTAGCTGAAACTACATTTTCTACTGGAAATGGAATCAGATCATGTTTTAACACAATATCATTCTAAATATCAAAACAGGATACATATATCTAGACATTTCATTAAGTTAATATATTATCTGATAAAATTATATTTCAGTGGTAAAGTTGGTGATTTACACCCCTAGTTTACCAGTGTTTGCATTTCCTGTTCCAATCCAGTCCTGAAAAACACTCATCTCGAAAACTACAAACATTCACTATTCAGATCTCTTGGCGTTAGGGGACATCGGCGTACCGCTTGTTAATGTGAGTTGTTTGGGTCAAGTCCTTGTGTGACTAATATTTTTTTGCTGACTGGATAGTTGGAATTTTCCAGCTCATTTACAAAAAAGTTGGGGATGTGGAGGGGGGAGAGGGGGGGGGACTTCAACTCCAAGAAACACCAGAGGATGTGTTCAATTTCAGGCAAACAAGCCAACACATGCTAGCACTGTTATATATATGGAGATGGTGGTTGCAGCACAAACAAGCAGGAACTCACATACTGCATTCGTGCACACACAAAACCATACAACCCACACTAACCAAGGTGTGTTGGTTATTGTTTCCTCCACCTTCAGTCCCTTTTGTTTCTAAAAGTCACAGGAGTAAAGACACTACACAATTAGACAGACTAATTAGGCCTCCATGCCACCCATTCCATAACCCCACAGACAGGTCGGGGCAGGCACAAGACTTCCTCTTTCCTGGGAGCTATCCAACAACTTGAACAATGGAGCAGTGCACTGATTGCACTTTTGAGGGAATTTAGCTAATGCTCTGTCAATAAACTGCTGGAGTTGTGTAAACCACTAACAACATAAAGCGTCACAGAGCAACACGCTTGCACAATCTGACAAACTATCAATTTTAATTAGGAAGACAAGAAGAAGCTGGAATTTCCACTCCATGATGACAAATCGATACTGACACAAACAGAGTCCGCATTCATCATCTTTAATCTTGAATCAAGGAAAACCTTCAACAGTCACATTAATAAACTTAAAAATCCAGCTGTCATAACAAGTCGTTAGCTCTGCAGCAGATTAATGATGACCCCTCACAGCTCCGTGCTCAGTCTGAGTCACCCTGCAGGCAGGTTGTGGAGGATTTACAGGCCAGACCTACGCTTTGATGTCTTTTTCCCTGGCTTTCCATTAGGTAAACAGGAAAAATCAGCAGCTTTGTTCCATAGAGGAAGTTTAAGTGGCCCAAAAAAAAAAGAATCAAGGGTAAAAACTAATAACCTCTTTTCAGTGAACTGGCAGAACAGCTGGTGAGGGGAAGAGGGTCGACAAACTGACGGAGCGGGAACGTTTCAGTTTGTGCTTTGACAGCTCTGAAAGTGGGCTGGGCCGCTGAGCTGCTCAAACTATCTGGCGGGAAGGTTTGAACTTTTTTCCCCTCACTATAGTCCAACCCTGCTTCCTCTGTTGCAGATATGGAAAATGCACACATCATTTTGAAAGGTAAAGCCCCTAAAACATTATCTTTAGGATTCACCTTCATTACTTTACAACATAGTGAGAGTATTAGAAGTATTGCACATGAACTAAGTCAGCCATGTTCATTTATCTGAAGTGTGTTTTAATGAGAAGTGGCCCGATTTCTGGTTGCAGCGCATTCCACAGGCTTAAAAGCCATGTTGTCTAAACCATCACATTTTTCTGTCATACTGCTCCGGATGAATGCAAAGTTTTTCTGTGGTATCATTTGTCTGCAAAATACTAATTTCATTTTCTTACATTCAATTTTAAAAAATCATGTAGCACATTTTAAAAATTAATTTTGATTACTGTATCCAATAGTGCTTCGGCTCAAGTTTATTGTATGGCCAAACTCATACCCACCTACGACAACAGCTTACCACAAAAAACAATGACTTTATTCATATTAGATTATAAATTGTGATTTGTACTCTTTCATTTGGCCCCCATTCACGACGACAACTATGTTACTGCATAAAAAATCAGCCAGGATATGAAAGGCCTTGTAGGGTCTAAATGAGGTCTTTGGGCACAAATAAAAAAACAAAGTTGGCTTTACATCTTGTGTAATAGAGCTGGCGGGTTGTGGAGGGCCTTCAGCATATGCAAAATCTTTGTAGCAACTTTGTGTGGGTTTATAATTGTAGTGGTAGAATATCTGTGTTCTGGGGCCAGCGTGCCTAAAGCCTGCACACATCAGTGTGACTCGGTCGTCTAACATTTGAAACATCACTGGCCTCATGTCTTGATTATGACTGTGGTTGTGAAAAGATATGGCAAACAACCTTGTGCAAATGTGACACTTGTGGCAGGATTCTCACAAGATCTCCTGGTTCATAGCTATGAGTCATTCCAGGGCAGGTGTTTGAGAGCACGGTGAGGGTGCAAGAGAAGACCTATTTTGTGAGTACTAAGAGCATAGCAACATTGTGCATTCATTCTGAAAGTGATGTTCCAGATTTGTAGCAATCCAGCCTTGTTCTAACAGGCTACATAGGTTGAAGGGTAATGGAGTCTTCATCCTGTGTTAATGGGGGGTTAGTTACCCTGGTCAGGCAAGTTTGAACATTACTGGACTTGTCAATAAACACAAACAACCCCTAAAGTAATTTGCTCTAGCACCAGAGCAGACCATGTGCAGATATGGGTAGGAAGATGAGATAAGATGCAATCCACAATCCATGACTCATCCAGTTTCCTCAAATTGATAACCAACAACCAGCGGTGCTGTCCTACCACAGCGCACGACTCATCACTGTTTGAATCTCTGGTTCAGAGAAAGACTAACACTTGCTCAAACCAGGAGGGGACAGAGAGCAGGGCTGTGTCAACGAGAGAAAGTCTTCGAATCCAGACACTGCCAGCTCTTTCATCCCTGACACATGTGGGGTCACAGCTTCTTACACACAGATCCGTCAAACTGATGCACAACAAGTGTTCATCTTCACTCACCTTGCAGATCTTACTCTCCTCTGTCTCTGATCTGGACTTGCCTTCTGGCATCTTCCCCTGCTGGTACTGGGACTTGACTGACAGCTGGCAGTTGAGTCCCGGAGCCCCGTCATTTGCCTTGAGTTCCTGCTGCTGGGTCATGAGGCTCTGCAAGGTAGCGGCTCTGACAGCATTGGGGATGGGGAGGGCTGTGTGCACCGGCTTGGTGCCCACCACAGAGGGTTGCCTTAGCTTGGAAGCTACACCAACTACTGGCATTGCAAAAAATAATAAAACCACTCCAATGGATTAAGAGCTTTAAAAAGGAACTGACAAAAACTGAGTCATCTGCAGTTTTTCTTTTTCTGAGGTCTGCTGCAAAGAGGGGAGGAAGAAAAATGCTAAACAAAAAAGGACAAAAAGAGGGGAAGACAGCAGTTTCCTCTCAGATTGAGAGGGAAGCAACTGCTCTCATTCTGTGGCCTGCTGTGAGCCGAACTCACAGAAACTGAGAGAGTTTCTTGTTCTTCATGTTGACTCCCTCCTCCTTCTCCTCCCACATGCAGCACAGCTCCCTCCCCTTCCCTCCTTTCCCACCCCTACTGTCAGAAGTGCACCACAGAGAACAGTTCAAGGGGGTGTGAACTCCTCTGGAAGGTACAAACAGCAGCATCCAAAAAAAACTGTGATTACAGAGACCTGGTTTCCTGTGCTTTCTGTGTGTGTAGCTATGTGTGTGTGTTTATTATGATGAACACTAGGAATAGACACACTCCTGCACAAAAAAAAAAAGAAAAGAAGAACGAGTTGTTTATGAGCATGAACATTTTTGGGTGGGGGGATCCTCATTTGGCTAGCTATTAGCCTAGCCTGGATGAAGACTTTTTGCCTCTTTCTCCTCACTTTGTGCTCCATGACTGATGTTAGACACTTCAAACTAAAAGATGATAATTTTTCAGAAAATTTTCACTGATACTGAGCAAATATTTGCAGGGATATTAGCTTAAAGTGACATAATTTTGTAATACCCAAAAAGTTGGAGTTATATATATATATATATA